GCATGTAGATTTGCACACTTTGTGGAAGGACACATCAATTGTAGAAAATTACTACCATCTTCCTATACGTAAAATTATCCAGATCAACTAAATTTGCTGAAATTGTTCTGGTACCTGGAAGTGGGATACCCAGATGGTATCTAGGGTCACATACTTACAATGGAAGGGCTGTAGGTGGAAAAGCGTGTTTGAAAAGAGATGGATACACCTGGTATGTGATGATTGAAATAAAAGGGAAGGTGTGGCGGCAAGCTGATTTGAACCACCTACCAATTCTCCAAAACCGCCACACACGGCTCTTTCTCAAAATCATAGGGCATTTGAGAGTGTAATGGCTTTTACACGGGCTCACTCTGGGAACACAATCAGTCAATATTCATTCACACACGAATCATAGTTTCCTCCCAACGAGTATGGTACTAATCAGTCGGCCCTGGAAAGATGGAGGTTCGGTTGACTTGGAATGGGATTCGATCCCAGCTTGGTTTTTGACATTTTTGACATTTTTTTCGCCCCCTTCACTATAGCTGCACTTTCACGTCAAAAAAGACGTACTTGCTTGGAATGCGACACGATGAATGCCTCTAGTGACTTCCCCAAAGAGTTTTGATCCAATTCCAGAATGGCGAAATTCCTCCTTAACAAAGTAGGCACCAATTTGCGTATAATCTTTTTTCTTGACAGCCACGACACCTCCCATTATTTCGTTCTCTGCAAAGAAAGTCGTCTTTAGCTGAAAACATTTACCAGTCAAAATACGGTAACCACTTACTTAGGTTCTTAGCAGTGATAACTCGAACATTCTCAGATCCATAGGCTTCTTGCCATGCAGTGAAACAGTCGTAGTTTAGCATGTAGTTGTCTTGTTCGGCGGCGATAGCGGCCAGCTGTAGAGGTTGAAATCAACGAATAAGGAAAACCTCGGGAATTCATTTGAATGAGAGCTACCTCGTCAAAATCAGCTTTGTTGCCTGTATGGAATTTATACCAGAATCCATGCTTCGAATACGCTCCACGCCACGGATCGCCAACGGATTTTGGCAGCGAGTTTTGGAAAGGCTGCAAAAAGGTCAAAGTGCTCTCTTCTTCATATTGATAAATAGTGGTAGTTTCATATTGATAAATAGTGGTAGTTTCAAGGGCTATTAGTGCAAGGGAAGTTTCTCTCGAAATATCTCCAGAACTTCAAATTCCCCAGTTGAGCTCTGAGGAGGAAATACCAAGGACAGGGTGGTGTACGACCATAATTCGTCGCGAAACTGATGAGCTTTCCTCAGCAAAACGCAAATCAGCCATCAGTTAGCGCAGCTCAAAGCCCCACTGTGGTGATGGGCGTTCTTCCAACCACCTTTCTATTTGTTATATAAGTCCCTAATTGGATGTGATTGTTTGTACGGCTACCAATACGTATGTCGGTCAGCCTCTCGGTCTCACATGTGTGTGCGTATCCGTTCGCGGAATTATGTGTTATGGGAGCTGATGGGATTAGTCGACCGTTAAGAAAACTGTGTAGCCCATGGGTCACGCGGTATCAACTTTGTAATAATGATCATGGAATTTCTTCATCTGATCTGGTGTGGAAGACGCCACTAACGAGCACGCTTTCATGCATTCTTCAGGTGTTGTAGAAGTGTCTTGCGGTGAGGGGGGGGGGGAGGAGAGTGATGGGATAAAGCAAACTTCAAGGAACCAGGTATCAAAACCCGTGCTCAAATGAAACTGTGTCAATTAAACGTGATGTTGTGGTACGCTCTCCACCATACAAAGCACCTTTTTATATTCATTTTATTATATTTATCTTATAAAGGATACATATTAACACATACTACACATAAGCTCCACAAGGTATTTGATCCTTCAACTGAAAATGGGTCTAGTGGGATATATGTAGCGCACGCAGCAAAAGGGAAATCATGATGACTGGCTGGCGAAAACACGAAATCAGCTGCGATCAGCTGATTTCGACTCATTACCGCGTCTTACCCTAACCAACAGGTCGAGGTCAATCACGGCAGGCTTCTCCAGATATAAGGGAAATCAGAAATCAGAAATGAGGGAAATCGACACCTTCATCTACTATTCTTCACAAGAACGCAAGTTATAGCGCAGACAGATGAGAGGCAATGCCTGGCCTAGCTTCGAGCAATGTCAGAAGGGACAGTCATGAATTAGGGTGAGTGTATGAGTGGGTGGTACTCATTGTTTGGTAAAGGCTGGAAGACGTTTGAATCCACGTGGTCGTTTTGTGCGGTGGTACAAGAACCAAATCAGTTAGATGTGGTTCGAGTAGCCACGATAGGAAGGTCTCCCTTGCGCCTGATTTGTAGATTTCGAGGCCTTCAAGAGTCGACTTGCGGGCCGACCAAATTCTTTGCTCAATGTTCATTCTAGTCCTCTACATAGTAGTAGGCCATGAGAGGCTTTTTAGACAAGAAGGAACAAATCGGAGTAGAACATTAACACAGTCGAAATACCGATGTGATTATCATGATAATCCAGTTGTACGTGCGCTTCTTACTGGCAATCTCCAATCTTCCTCCACATAGCGATAACGACTATAATTATCAGGACAACTACTGTGGACAAAACACTTGTTGCAATGGTAATACATAGTTCAAATGAGGTTTTTTGTAAATTCTTATTCATGAGGATAAGGCGGGATCTCTGGGTTTCGCAGTATTCCTCAACCACGAGTCAGTCCCTCTCTTCCTTATCTTTTTATTTAAAAATTGTCTTTCTATCATACTACTAATACTTCCTACGTAAACAGGGGAAGGAAACGCTTCAAAGAATCAAGAGTGTACTATTGAAAAAGAACTAACCAGCATTTCATAGGGTTGTCCTGGGACTTCAGGTTTCTGTCGTTTTAGTACATCCTTGAATGGCGGAGGAACGCGGTCCGGTCGGACGTTGTCCATTGTGTGACAGTGCCAACGGACGTCCCGCTCATATACGGACGCATCGAAGTGGTACAATCAGAGCGAATGCGATTCCTATTAGCCGGCCAGGGCACACGCTGAACGCGCGTGCGAGTAACGTGTTCTATTGAGCATCGGTGTGCCAAAGATGCGAGGGAGCCTTAATAAAAGAGGTAAAAGCATGAAGCATTGCGTTGCTCAGCCTTTTTTTTGAGATCGCCACGCATCTATTCCATTTCGGTAGTCGTAGGTCATTTAGTGCCATGTGGATCAACGGATTTTGGAGGCAGCTGATGTTTCAACCAGGGTTGATGCGTTTGTCTCTCGGGACAGGCCTTGGTACAAATAGTAATCGACACGTGGGATGACTTCGGGGCGCCACCGCACAATAAAAACTTATTCTTTACATTTTTAGCGATATTGGTGGTTAAAAAGCGTCCTTAACATTAGACGGAGTCAGGCCTGGCCAATCAGCAAATTTGATATTTTTCGAGCACGCGGGGCGGTTGGTTTAGGAAGCGGAAAGACTCCTCTCATTTGCGCACCTAATTTCTTCATTTCCCGACCGGCTCAACTGGTGCACCGTTTGCAAAGTTGGCGCATCGCTCGAGCACCGTGATTCGCAAGTGACACACGGAGTTGCAAAGTGTGGCACCGATCTTGGGCTACGCCGATTACGTGACCACTTGAACTTTGCTCCGCATTCTCTGTCGGGAATAGTAAACACAGACGATCAGGGAAAGGCGTGTGGCCGAGTCTGACTAGGCCTTTGGAGGTCGGGAGGTATCTGGAGGGAAATGAGCACTGATATAGTGGCGAAAACGTCAATTTTGAAATCACCAGTGATCTTAAGGCGCTCTCAGGTGAGAGGCGCCAGCGAGGACATCAAAGAAGGGTTTGAAGGACGAGTACAAGTTGCACGAGGCTAGCGATGCATTAGTGGCATTGGGTAATAAATCGTAAGGTCCCAGCAGAATTCGCCTTGAGACACATCGATTGCAACGATGCAACTTCTCCATTTACCCTTTCCTAGTTCAGGGTCAACCCTTGATGGTTCAATCTCACGCAGCGATAGAGGATGATAACAATTGACGATGACTTTTGTCTGTTCAGGCGACGAATTAGGTCAATTCTGCGTAATAACCTGACCGCATCTGAGACTGTAAAATAATACGGCGAGTAAGCGCAAATTGTTATAGAATAACAGTACAAGTTGAACCAGTTAAGGGTGAAAGTAGTGGGCTAATCTCATTCGCTTTGGGCGCATTCGTATCGCATTTCCAGACTTAAAACGGGATTGTGTGCACATTCATTGCTGCTTAGGACCCAATCTAGACTGTGGCGACAGTAAAACCCCTGAGGGTTAAAAGATGTGCAGTGTGCATGATTCTTCGGAATTCTTTGAAAATAGATTTACGGTTTACGTTATGTCCATTAGCTTGAAATAATCTATGGAGCGAAAGCTGGTGTGGTGCGAGTTGCGCTATCGACAGACGGTTCGGAGATCAAATCCTGACTATGCCGTCCAAGTCAACCAAGCGCTTTTTGTTCTTCGGTTTACGGACTACTTGATTTTTCCTCAATGGTCCTGCCGCGATGGCTAGAGCACAGACGATTAGAGAACGGGTGAATGCCCTAGGACTAAGCCTTGGAGAGGAGAGGGACCCGCGAGGAGCGCAGAGGAGGTTAAAGGGCTGAGTTCAAGTAGTCCGTCGACCTTGTTCTTCAGGAGTCGGTTCGGTCCCAATCTTCTCTGAGAGGATATACTCACCTGAGTCGTACATCGACTTTCCTTCGAAAAGTACTGTAAAGGTGGAATCACATTCAAAATGCCACTGCGACTGTGGACAGGAGTGTATGTGTGCGTGGCTCATTCCGAGAAGGAACTGAGACCTCTCTAACGGTCCGCTAAAATAGCCAAAATAAAGCTTGGGGAAGTTAGTATGCAAGGGAGGCTTGAACTGTTCCCATATTTATCAGGAATTATACCTACCAAGGTGAAAAGCATAGAGTTATGCCGGCGAATTTCAGGTAGAAGAAGAAGAAGAGACACCATTGACATGGAAGAGAAACTTGAAAATGCAATTATGGATCAAAAAGGAGTAGGAGGGCAGAGGGAGTTGGATGACTTATATGGAGCCACCACGCGCTCAAATTTCCCTTCAGGATCGTCGACCCGTTTGATTGGGTACCTGACGTCGACAACGGCAAGAGATCAGATCATGTCCAAATCCGTACTTTTTTATTATTTTTCTAAATCTACATGTAAACATATTAGTCTATCAGGAATGCATCGAAAGGTGTGGAGAACAATAGGCCCTCGAGCTTTTCGTTTTCTTCGCTATGATGCAACGGCCGCAAAAACGGATCCTACAAGCATCCACATAACGGCTAGCTAAGCCAGTCGCTAGTGAATACGGGATTTTTTCTCCGACATAACGCAATAGCTCTGAATTTGCTAGAAACCTGTTCTCGACTTGAAACTGTGTAGTAATCACCTCATTGTAGTGGGTTGTTGTTCTTCAGTAGGATCTACTAATTGGAATTTCACCACGCAACAAAGTAGGTCGGGGCCGCAAAGCTCGTTTTCAGCGAGGTTTATGGGCGTTCGTGCATTGCGCGACTGGTCACAGAAAACTTACGAGAATCGAAAAGCGCCATTACTATAACAACTACTACAGTATAAATAGCCAAAGAGCTCATCACATTACTATACCAACACCTCTTGTGGTCTTACTTTCAGGCATTCTCCCGATCTAACTATTCCCTCCTATTTATTTGTTTCTTTGCTTCGAATTTTTTCTCTCAAATATTCACTTGAAAGCAAAGCTGCAGCTCGCATTGAATTCTGTTGACGTTTTTCGCATGTTGTTTGCGTGTTGTTTACAATGTTCGAGATGGTATTTATTACAGATGCGCTGTCTCATACTTCTGGTAGCCGTTGGCGCGGTACTGGCTCAATACGAGTCACAAAACTCAGGCTATGAGACAGCCGAAGTAGAGCAGCCTGCTCCGGCCAGCCCCATGTCTGCTGATGGTGGCGATCAGCAAGGGTATAACAGCGATGGCAGTGACGACCAAGGTGGACCTCGACCAGGAGGAGGAGGAGGAGGTCGTCCCCCACCACCTCCACCACCCTCAACGGGTCAAAATCCCCCACCGAGACCATCGCCTCCACGACCAGCTCCTGTACAACCACCACCTCCACCACCACCGCCGACATCCCCAATACAACCTTCGTCGGGAGAGGCATATGAGGGAGACGATTCTGGATCCTCTGGACCTGGACCAAGACCCGGACCAGGACCTTCACCCGGAGGTTATTCTGGAGAAGGACCAGGACCTTCGCCTGGAGGTGGAGAAGGACCAGGACCTTCGCCTGGAGGTGGAGAAGGACCAGGACCTTCGCCTGGAGGTTACGAGGGAGGCGACTCTGGACCATCCGGACCAGGACCTAGACCCGGGCCAGGACCACGACCAGGACCAGGACCTTCTCCTGGAGGAGTATGAGGGAGGCGATTCTGGACCATCCGGACCAGGACCCAGACCCGGACCTGGACCACGACCAGGACCAGGACCTTCTCCTGGAGGATATGAGGGAGACGATTCTGGATCTTCTGGACCAGCACCCAGACCCGGACCTGGACCACGACCAGGACCGGGACCTTCACCTGGAGGATATGAGGGAGACGATTCTGGATCCTCTGGACCAGCACCCATACCCGGACCTGGACCACGACCAGGACCAGGACCTTCACCTGGAGGATATGAGGGAGACGATTCTGGATCCTCTGGACCAGCACCCAGACCCGGACCTGGACCACGACCAGGACCAGGACCTTCACCTGGAGGATATGAGGGAGGCGATTCTGGATCATCCGGACCAGGACCCTAGACCCGGACCAGGACCACGACCAGGACCAGGACCTTCACCTGGAGGATATGAGGGAGGCGATTCTGGATCTTCTGGGCCAGCACCACGACCTGGACCTGGACCACGACCAGGACCGGGACCAAGGCCAAGACCAGGAGCAGGAACTAGACCAGGATCAGGAACGAGACCTGGAGCAGGGCCAAGACCAGGACCTCGAGCACCACCTCCACCACCTCCTCCTCCTTCTGGAGGTGAAGATGACATGGTAAGTCCATAATAAGTTATTCTAAGATAGATATCTACAAAGGTTAACATTATTATAGCAGTATCAATCCAACGCCAACTACCAGCAGAATGAAGCTCAAAATCCAGCACCATCGATCAGTGCCAGTGGTAACGATGGTCTCGCCTACAGCAATACCCTTCGTGCTCGCCGCCGTTAAACGCCGGAGTGTAACGGTGTCTGTATTATTTGATGTCTTGTGCCTTATTGTTAGGCCGGGTTTAATAAAGGCTTCACAATCGCCTTCAATAATAGAGTGCGAAATAAATCAGAGGGGTTGATCCAGTTCTGTAGACTGGGTAATGTGTGCTAACTAGGTTCCTAGTTAAATCCATCAATTGGCCTGAGACCTCGTCTCGTCACCTTCCGAGATTTAGACACGTCTCATAGGCACCCAGGATCAAATTCATGCGGTAATTCCACTCGAAAATGAAGGTAGAGAAGCAAAGAGACTGAGAAAAGGATAAATGAAATCATGAAAAAGGTGGGGAATACGAAACTCATTGCTGCGGAGATGTCTGAGAAGTAGATCGCGAGATTAGGGATAATGTGAGTACCGGAGAGGGAAAAATGTGCAGATCAACATTATGGCACAGATAAAATATCGAACGGTGGTAATTTCGGTAGGATTAGATCAAAATCCTTGCCGTCCAGCTAATCCGTCTTAGTGACGCGTTTAACACATTGACGACAACGCGAGTTTTGGCTTTTTTGGCCACGTGGGACCGCGGCGATTTTGCGGGCGCGGCCGCCTCAGGTCGTTCAAGCAGATTTTGAGTGATAAATACATAAATAATGATCAATACAAAACCAGATCAGTAAATTGTAATGAGCACAACCTCCAGGGGTACAGTAGTGGAATTTTCGATCGAAAGACATGGAATAACAATGAAAAAGCGAAATTTTCAGAACTAGCTGCAATGGACCTCAAAAGCAATTTTACGTTGATTATTTCAATCAAAACACACATGTTGTCATCCCTAAGGTTCCTTATCTACTTCTACTACTATTTAAATCTTCACATTTAAAAAGAAAAAGTAAACGAAAAATTTATTGAAGATGGGATCTGCATGTTCGAAAACCTCCTATAATTAAAGCATAAGGAGTTACATTTGTGGCCCGATGCTATGTAGCCACGTCAAGCGTCTTCCATGGAATGAATACAAGAAACTTCTAGAAGAATCAGGCGTGCGCGAAAAAAATGAGTGTAATGGGTGCGGGGGATATATATCCCGCACGGTCCGACATGGCCTGCAATGCGCGGGATATATATCCCCCGCGTCGTCGTCAAGCGATGCTTTAGGTGCGAAAAAGACGGCGGACTCTCTGCAGTTGGCACCCTCCTCGCTTCATAAGGTTTCGTTATATTGAAGTCATTGATGGCGACTTTATGGAAGAAAGTAAGATGATTCTGCACGGGACAAACCGAGCATTATATGGAGACATTTTGTTTCCACCAGCCGCTCTAGGCCCTTTTGAGGCTGAGCCAGCACGCTGCGTTAAAGCGAGGGATTACGATGAGTTTGGACTAGGTTCACAGTGGAAGTGGAGATGCTCGAATATGCCCCAGTGGCGAAAAAAGCAAAGAAATCCGTCAAGAAGGCGCAAAATGGGACCCCTTTCTTTGCCCGTTGACCTCCGATAATGGGCGAGCTAGCAGCCATTATTGTCGTTAAGCAATGGTTATGAGATGCTTATCATTTCAGCTAGCATCATGCTTTGATTGATTTTAACAAGTATGTAACCACGACTTAGACGAATTGCACTGGTTTAGACAAAATGCCCCCTATATTGTGATAGCGCCCAAAACCCGTTTTAGAGCATTTTTGTGAAAGCATACCCTCAAAAGCTTCTTGTGCGGACTTGACTAGTCTACAAACAATAGTATGTAAAGATGGAAGTTGAGGCGTTCCAAGCTAAGGTCCAATAAAAACGGGATACATTAGTAGCCTTAGCGACACGCATACTTCGTCTCTTGATGTTATTCTACCTCAAACAGTTTCGCGATTAGTTACCAAACAACATAACGGAGCCTTAATTGGCAACAATGTATTAGCTTCCTAATTCTGAAAAAAAACTAATACGACAGTTTTGTTGCGCGAGACTTCTGCTTCTCACTTCTCCAGACAAGTTATTTAGAGCCATTGTAATCAAAAACCATCGAGAGTCTTGATTGGGGTTATCTGATGAGATCGTGAATGAAATAGCGCGATCTTAATACTACGTAATAAAAGGATAAAGCTTTGCCGTTGATCAATCCCTTTTGGGATCGGCACTTCCATTTGTACATTCGTAGTGGCGTTTGAATGCGATGTGGCCTATACAATGACTTGCGGGGGCCAGCCGATGTACAAGTCAGTGTTTTTATCCTCCCAGACAAGTCTGGTACCAATTAACCGACCCCGGAGGGATGGAAGGCTTGGTTGGGCGACTCACGACCCAGGATTTGATCCCCGGACCGCTCGCGTGGTAAGCGTGCCACTTGCCACTACACCACTTCCGCCCTAATTTATATCAATTAAATCGTGTCGGAGCTATGTAAGTTCAAAAGAATAATTAGACTCTTCATGCCACGTATTCCTTTCAAGACCTTTTCTGAAAAGCAGGTACTTTTCTAAATGAAATTTGGGTGCAAACAGGATTCATGGCATTACCCGAAAGGCATTTACTGCGACTTTTGAAACCTTCTAAATTTATTAACGTCGACGGATGACGACAAGAAATGCCACCAAAATCGGTGAAAGTGGCCGAATGACGCTGCTGGCGTGTGCGGGCCAAATGTGGTTCTTACAGGGTGTTAACGAACTGGTCTGCGGATACTTGAACTTGTTCTACAAATCGAGTCAACATGCTGACCTCCGCTCTTGACGACTGCAAACCCAAACATGGAGAGGCTTAGCGCTGTCAGCAATGAGAATATCCGTTGAAAAAAGAAAATGATGTTCCTGTCCGGAGAGATTTCGCAATACCAAGTAGTTCTAATTGCCAATTTTGAATCGAGGACAAAGAGGGTTTCGTTGCTCGTACTTCTACTGTACTTTACTTTAGCTAGTTTTCTTCCATCGACGCATCATTTGGCACCTTTACATTCTTTTTCAACAGAATAACCTTATCGCCAGTTTCGACTCTGACCCCCGAAATCATTGCATCCAGTTATCACCAGTTTGGGTTTGGAACCCAAGTGACGCCAAAAATGAATGCCATACTCGTCAACAGGTCACTGAATCACCCCACCTATGGGCGTAAAGAATGAGGTTTTGAGCTGTATTGGTCAGATATTACCCGAATACAAGCAGCTACAATAGTAATAAATTTATTTTGCTGAATTCTCCGTCTATCCGGTTAGAGACAGGTTGGCAAGCGCCGCTGAATTTGTTGCACACATTTAATCGCAATACCAACATAGTTCCTTGCCTATCATAGGGCACCATGCTATGACATCTTATTCGTGTGGAACACCACTGGTTGCTGCTTGACGCTGATCTCTTCATTTTTTTTGCAGATTCAGCTTATTTCTTCGGTCATTTCGTATTAGCCGGTTTATCTTTTAGCTTGCTTCCATCAAAATTAGATTAGGTCTGAAGGAGGGGCACAAATTAGAAATCAATGCTGCTTATGCATGAATCTCTACATCCTCTGAGACTTATTGTTATTCCTATCGATTCTTATAGCATACTGTGAGGCCAGGGAGTTTTCATAATCCGTTTGTTCCATCGTAAATCGCACAGGTATCAACCACTCAATCCGATCGGATGATCAGACGATCAATACGTATCTAAAGCTGTGCGGTCTTTACGATGGAACGACCAACTATGAAAGCGCTATTGCGCCAGCGGTCGAGCTATGTACCAGGGACTTGACAGTGTTTGATAGTAGCGGGACTTAAAGACAGTCCCAGCAGGGTTTCACCTTCGACACTTATGGTGTGGAACGATGCACTAGCCTCAGTCCAAAATATAAAAGGGCGTGGTTGCTAATC